TTCATCATCATTTCACTGGTCTTCGACCTACATGGTCAGGGAAAGTCCCGGTTCGTAGGCCTACAACACGGTCAGCGTGTTCTTGAGCGCAGTAACAACACAAGTGTGATCACTTCCAGACCGACGGGCGTTCAAGGCGAGTAACAAGCGCACTTGACAAAGGTGACTCTGAAATCTCGTGAGCCGTGGGCAACGCGACTTGGCATTCTTGCGTCACAAGGCACGTGATTTCACCGTGCATCTTGCAATAAAATTCAAAAACTGCGCTCAGGCCTTCAGTCACTTTTGCATCAACAGTCGCACAAAAAATTATTGGTGGCGCAAGGAGAAGCTTGTCGTTTGGAGTGACAAGTGATCACCGCTGCTTTTCCTTGTCAGAGTCAACACTACACTTTGTTCTGCGGCCTTGGGAGTAGTGTTGGAGTAGAAATTGCTGAGGAGACGTCGCGGAGGGGCGAGCTTTCCTGCGCAGGTATGACTTTGGCCGTATTTCAGCATGGTCGAGTGGAAAAATTCAAAAAAGTTTATTTCAAGAAAACCCCAAAAGGAAGATGGGGGACATGTCCTCAGCGCTGGAAGAGGTGTTCTACTATCTGCCGGTGTATAGTTCTGGCCAATTGAGGACGTAGCTGGCTGTTTTGCCAGTGCTTGTAAATTGGCTATTTTCAAGACGATAATTTGTGGCGTCAGGGGGTGATGGACCTCGTCTTCTGGGATGCCGGCGTGGCTAAGCGGTACTGCTCCAGGAACTCTTCTAAGGTGAGGCAATGTTGGCTTGATGGAGTTTTGTTCATAGCTTGTTCGTATACGCTGTGGCGTGACTCGTTTCTAGACCCATAAATAATGTGATATTTCGGCCATTTTTGAGGGGTATGCAAATTTCAAGGTTCCCTTCAGAAACTTTTTCAAGGGCTTTGCCCAATCGATCCACACCCCAAAGGGAACCTACCTGCAAATTTTGAGCGAAATCGGAGAGATCCACTTGCACACATACTTTGGTATTCTCAGACATGCTCTCTTAATCTTTTGTACGGTAAGTATGACATTCCTTTTTGTCGTCGTTGTTGCTGTGTGCATATGAGTGTCTATGTGTATGTGCATCTGTTTGTATGTACGTGCACGCATGCGTGTGCGTCGCGTAGTGCAAGTACTTCATATTTGATTGGGAGTAAAGACTTCATTGTTTGCTGCAAGTACTGATGTGATTGCTTGTGGTCATGTGTTGTGCTTCTGCTCCGTTGCTCGTGTTTGTGTTGACCTGCATGTGCACTTGTGTGTACGTCTGTGTGTGTGTTGTGTGTGTGTGTGTGCATGTGTGTGTGTGTGTGTGTGCATATGTGTGTGTGTGGTGTGTGTGTCTGTGTGTGTGTGTGTGTGTGTGTGTATGTGGGTCCACGTGTGTGTGTGTGTGTGTGTGTGTGTGTGTGTGCGCGTGTTTCTATCTTTTGTTTTGCTATACTCTTAGATTGTCACCGACATGTTCATCGTCAAAGGATGGTACAGCTGTCTAACTCTGTGTCTGTATGGGCACGTAATCGGCCGCGATCCGTCCGCAACCTCTCCCGGCGTCAGCGACCCCCAGGGAAAGAGCACGATGTCGGAAGATCCTCTGAAGCACGCGGCTAGGCTGGAGGGCCGGCCTGAGAGTATGCCGGAGGTACACGCACATCCTCCTGCTCTGGGTCCGCGCCGAGGCAGCGCACTGCTGCCCGCTCCAGACCGTCCCCCTGCCGTTCATCCTCACTCAGCACGGCGCAGCCATCCACAAGAGCCTCAGCAGCAACAACAGCAACAGCAGCAACAACAACAGCAGCAGCGTCAGCAGCAAGAGCAACAACAGCGGCGGCAACAGCAGCAAGAGCAGCAACAGCGACGGCAGCAACAGCAGCAGCAGCAGCACATACAGCAGCGTGCCGAGCATCGGATTCCTCCTTCGATGCAGCAGCAGCTACAACAGCAACAGCAGCTTGCTCGTCCTGATCAGCACCCGCCTGTTGTCGGTCATCATGAACAACGACACTCTGCACCTATACTGGAGCAGTTGAGCCAAGCACTGCGCGGCTCAGCCCCGGCAGACCGAGGCATGCCCTTGCGCCCCGAGCCGCATCACCGCACTAGACCCTCCGTTCCCCCTTTGATGCCCACGCCCGTGACCAGCCAGACGTCGTCCAGTTTCGAGCACCGTCGACACGAGGTGGCACAGGCCGGTGGTCGCCACGTGGCACCTCCCGGGCTACCCGCATCACTGCCTAATCGTGTTGTGACGCCTGCAGCTGCCCTCTCGGCGCAACAGCAGGCGCCGCCGGCAAAGCTTGAGAAAGACGCGGGCAGAAAACCAGACCTGCAAATTCCGGCAGTCAAAGACCTGAAGGTAACCGTGCGAGGTCGGTCTCCGGATCCGGGCGGCAAGGTGATGACGAATTTTACTCGAACGATAGTGAACGCTGCCGGCCCTGTCAAGGATGAACCAGCTGCAGCTGTTGTGCCTGATGCACCAGTGACGGTTGTTGATGAAGCCAGTGTGGATGCTGTAGATGCCGAGAGCATGTTTGATGAGATGGACGACGATGTGATCGGCTTGGGAGACGACGGTGACCTGGTTGCCGACCATCACATTGATCTCGAGCTGTTCGGAGAGGACGTGACATGGATGTCGCTGCCGATTGGCTTCAATCCCTACGACGACATCGACGTGATTCCGCTAGCGGCGCTCCAGCCGTGTCATCGTACGCCACACGAAAAGCGTTTGATGGAGCTGAAGGCCCGGTCTTCCGACGAGGTCTCTGCAGCTTCGCCGGACTCTGCTGCGCAGCTGAAAAATCTTGTTCATCAAATGCAGGCGTTGGATGATGCCACCCAGTGGCTGATTCTCCTGGAGAAGATACCGCTGTTGTGTGAACAGTCCTTAGCTGATGTTGTGCACTCAGATCATACATCTCCAGTGCTGAGCTCTTTGGTCACCTTCACGATGCATGCGTTGGACTGGCACTCCGCCTCATCTCTGCCACTGGCGGCGAACATTCGCCAGCTGAAGGCCGGCATTCGCCTGTTCGTGTGCTTGGTGGAGTGCGGTGGCAACGTCAGCGAGGCCGTCATCGACGCAGGCGCCCTGGAGGCCATGTGCAAGCTGCTCACCGTCGACTGTCTCGTCTCGTCCACCAAGGTGCTGGTGCTGCGCGCCGTCGACGCCGCCATTGACTTCCCCGTCGGCATGGAGCACTTCCTCAGCTGGCATCACACGGCCGCCGGCCAGGGCAGCGATAGCGGCACGGGCAGTGGTCAGGCGGCGCGGCAGGACAACTGCTACCGGGCGCTGATTGCGTTCCTGCTCGGCGGACACACGGTGCGCGTGATGCAGTGCTGCCGCGTGCTCCTCAAGAAGGTGCACACGTACGAGCTTCTGGCGCGCCTGCAGGAGCGCGTCGACCTGGTGGCGGCTTCGGCCAGTGCGCTTAAGGTACCACTGGAAGGCCGTGGCGACGACGATGAGGCTGTCGACAACGGTGGTGATGGCGGCATGGACTGGCAGGAACGTGGACAGCGAGACCGGCAGCAGGCGGCGCGATTGCTTGACGGGCCGGGCGCTGGGGACGATGCAGAGCCGATGGACACCGGCGAGCCCTTAAGCTCAGCCCGAGCTAAGCCAAAGCAGCCAGGATCAGGTGCTTCTAGTCACAGAACTAAGACTGAACTGGAACAATCATCATCTAGTTCTCCATCTGTTGGCTGGGAGTCTGACAGAGGTCAAAGGAAGGCTTCCTCAGCAGAAGATGGCAATGAGGAGGAAACTGCCGAGCTTGCACTGAATGAAGACATGGCTCTGGAGCTGGCCAACTTTGCAGTTATGGCGCTCGGCAAGCTTCTGGCAACGCTGCGTACGGCTGACAATGAGCTGGTTAGCAACGTGGCGTTGTTGTGTTGGTGTGTGGTAGAGTCTGTTGTGTGTGTGTGCGTGTGTGTGCGTGTGTGTGCGTGTGTGGTGTGTGTGTGTGTGTGTGTGTGTGTGTGTGTGTGTGTCGGTGTGTGGTGTGCTATAGCATTGCTATTATCGCCTCTGGCGATGGGCGTCAAAGAGTTACCGTATTTGCCGGAGTACATGTATAACGCGCACCCCCATTTTTAAGCAATGTTTTGGCAATTCAAGGTATATGCGGAGAATAATGCGCAGCCTAGATTTGAGAGCAGTATTAACCATAAAGACTGTACTAGAGTGCGACCATTGTCATAAAAGTGCATTCAGATGGCTTGCGCGGGGTCAAAGGTGGCACACTTCGTAACAGTTTGATGCATTGCACTACTTTTCGAAGTAGATGTTAATTTTTTCATATTCGGAGCATAGTGCGCACCAGCGAGTTGGGGCCAGAAGTAGTGCCTCCAAAGTGCGCACTACTGTATAACACCTTTATTTCGGTGTAATTTAAATTTCGGTAACTTCGGTACTGGTCCTGGATCACCTAATTTAACATTACACCTAAATTTTCCGAAATACCAAAAATATGTAAAAATCATGAAAATCACTGTCGAATTAAAAAAAATCAACTTGTATACTGGTATACCGGTAGTACATTGTATATACAGTGCCAGCACTGTATATAACATGTATTCATATGTGGAGCCTTGGCGTAGATATTACATTATTTAATAGTGCAAGAGCCTTTTTTTTTTTTTTTTTTTTTTTTTTTTTTTTTTTTGGTGCCATGCATACCGAATTTATCCTGACACCGAAAGGTCAGGGGTTGGCTTTTACCGAAATTTTACAACACCGAAAATAAGGTGATATACAGTATACTCCGGCAAATACGGTATGTGTTATTAAAGGGGAAGTATACCCTAAAATCAAATTTTCACCAGTTGTAGTCTTCTGGGTGCTGAGTCGAATGGTCTTGGTCCGAGGAAGCTGCGACGCTCCCTTCCTTCTTTTATCCCAATCGAACCCGCGCACTTCCACCGAAACTGGGTGACTGCGCCCAACTAGATGGGGATTTGTATGCAAAATCTCACTAAAGTGCTATGTCGTTCTTATAAAAGCACGGATGACCGCGATTGGCCCATATGTTGTAGTCTTTTGGACGCTGAGTCGACTGGTTTTGGTCTGAAAAGGCTGCGATGCAGCGTTCCTCCTTTATTCCCAATCGAACATGGTTGAACAAGCGGTCACGTGCTCCTGGGTGCCCAAATCACCTGGTCAAAGCGCCAGCAGGCGACAACTTTCACACCACGGTTCAACTCGAGTTCAACTCGAGTGACAGGACTGCACCCAAAAAAGGTCAAACAGGCTAGTAAGTTAGTTGTACCCTGCAGGTACGGTGACCAGGTGACTGGTGTACGCAGGAGCACGTGACCGCTTGTTCAATCATGTTCGATTGGGAATAAAGGAGGAACGCTGCATCGCAGCCTTTTCGGACCAAAACCAGTCAACTCAGCGTCCAAAAGACTACAACATATGGGCCAATCGCGGTCATCCGTGCTTTTATAAGAACGAAATGGCGCTTTTAGTGAGATTTTGCATACAAATCCCCATCTAGTAGGGCGCAGTCACCCAGTTTCGGTGGAAGTGCGCGAGTTCGATTGGGAATAAAGGAGGAAGGGAGTGTCTCAGCTTCCTCGGACCAAGAGCATTTTTAAAAGTATTCTTTGTGTACCCGCACAGTCCGTACTAGTATATTGAGCTACCGGTATGTACAGTGCATTTCGAATATATAGACGCGTGATTTCAAAAAACTGGTAGGCTAGCATCTATACCACATAAAATCTGTGATCACTTTGTGCATTAAAATTTCGAAATGGGGTGTTTGCTATCCGATCGCTTAAAAAAAAAAGAGAATAATTGGGGGAAGGACCTGAGCAATATTCGGGAAAAAATTCTCAAAATGCTCCAGCCGAATTTGAAATATTTCAAAAATACTATGCGTCTATAGTTTTGAAATGGACTGTACAGTCCATTTCAAAACTATAGACGCGTACCTAGGCAAAAACCGTTATGCCAGCATCTATACCACATAAAATCTGTGATCACTTTGTGCATAAAATTTTCTAAATTGGGCGTCTGTTATCCAATCCTTTAGAAACTATATATATGAGAGTAATTATGGAGCAATCCTGAGCAATATTCCGAAAACTATTCTCAAAAGGTTCCAGCCAAATTTGAAATATTTCAAAAACCCTACGCGTCTATAGTTTTGAAATGCACTGTAGATGTGCACTATCATGCATCACTGCTGCAAAGGAGAGATTGTTTCCTTATGCAACATATCACTTATCTTTACCTATGTCTTGCTCTGCTGCATTTCACAGTGGAGAGTTCTATGCCTATGTCTTGCCCTGCTGCATTTCACAGTGGAGAGTTCCATGCCTAACATTGCCTATGTCTTGCTCTGCTGCATTTCACAGTGGAGAGTTCTATGCCGTGCATGCGAGTGTGCTTTCCGCTGTGCCGTCTTATGCATGCTGCACGTCTTTGCTATTCGTCAAGAGTCCATTTTTCCCTTGGTACGTTTCAGTAACGTTTCATGCATGCTTGTTCACTTCTTCCTCGCTTCTCAGGTCCAGCTGCCGCCGAAGGTTTGCCCCACGAAGTGTCGCCTTGTGGACTTCAATCCCCGGAGCCCGTGGCCCGGATTGCTTCGCTGGTGCAGCTCCAGGTATGGGGACAGTAAATCCGTCTCACTCTGTTGCCAGCCTGGCCTCTTTTGGGGTTTTTTTGCCGGACACTGTCGCGGGGAGATGAGGTTATGCGAATGACCCATCCTAGTACATTAACCACTCAGAAGTCAATACAATTAACACTTTGCCACTCGGAAGTCAATATAATACCACTTTTGCCACTCAGCTGGCATCCATATTAGGAGTATCTCAGTACACGTTTCTCCCAGTTTGCCACTCAACTGTCTTCCTTTATGGCAGTTTATCATGTAATCGCATTGCCTCTTATCCGCGCTGCTGTTTAGTTTTTGCTGAGAGTTTGTAACACCTACAGTTGCTTCACACCTTTTTTATTGGTAGCTAAGCATTATGGTTAAAATGAGAGGCAGAAATGGCTATATTCCTGGTAAAGCGAATGAAACCAAACAACTGTTCTTGTTTCTTTTGTCTTTGCTGCTCTAGGCGGCTTCTGGATATCCTTCTCGTCATGTTGTCGAGTCCACAGCTCTCCTCACACGCGGAGATATTCGCTCTGATACGCGATATCTTGCTGTGCCTCGTCGAGGCAGAGTCTGGTAAGGGTCAAGCAGTGATCGGCTACATAGCGCAGCGATCCAACCACTTTGTGAAACTTGGAAGTTAGAGCAGACACAGTCTCTCATCTGCTCTGTTTGTGCGTGCGTGCGTGCGTGCGTGCGTGTGTGTGTGTGTGTGTGTGTGTGTGTGTGTGTGTGTGTGTGTGTGTGTGTGTGTGTGTGTGTGTGTGTGTGGTGTGTGTGCGTGCGTGCGCATGTGTAAGTTTGTGCGTGTACCTATGCGTTATTGTGTATACTGTGTAGCACAATAAATCTACCACAT